AATTCAATCCAAAAATCTCATGTGCATGAGATATCAGTATAGAGATGAGAAATACACGCCTATCTCCAGTTAGAGTGGGTTTTTTTTACACAATGTATCAAAGACAAGTTCTGTAATGTTTACTATAGCATAGAAACATAAACTTATTAAATTTTGAAACTAATGAGAAATACATAGGTATCACCAGCACATGAAAAGGGGTCAGGTTGTCAAGATCTATCTGTCATTTCGCCTTAAACACTAGAGCAAGTATCTATCTAATGCATAACTAGGAATCAAAAGCAGATAACTATCATCATAAATCAAAGGAAAAAAAAGCAGGCATTGACGTCTGTAATATGCAAAAAAGAAAATGGACAGGCTCTTGACATTCATCGACTCCAGAAGTACACTGCAGTGCACCAATTAGCTACTACACCAAACAAGAACAACAGGAAGTTGAAGAATAAATTACTAAGCAAATGGCTTTGCAGGCTTCCGAACGGCATGTAATCTTACACCAGCAGGCTCTCATCTTGACCGAGCTGCTTCACTGCAACCATCTGCACACCAAAAAGGAAAACGCAAAGGGCGCTGTCACAGTACTGTTAAAGAAAGTAAACCCACGAAAAGCTCAGACAAACAGCCTGGAGCAGCCCTCCGTTGCCCGCTGCGCTCTGCACTTCGTTGCCGAGCTCGTCGCTGCCGAGCAGATAATTGAAATCATCAGCATCGCCTTATGCCATGTCAGCTTCAGCCTCAGTCTCCGCGTGCCTGTGCTGCTTTAGGCCTCTGCAGTAGTGCCTCCGTGGAACAGCGCGTGCTCTCGCGTGTCTCCTGCGGCACCCTCGACGCCATCGGGTGAGGTAGAGGGAGGAGGCGAGATCCGCCTGGACCATGGTCGGTGCGGGAGATGGAAGCGAGATTCGCTCTCGACACCATCGGTGAGGGAGAGGAGGTGGGATCCACCCTCGATGCCGCTTGTTGAGGGAGAGGGAGGCGGGATCAGCCTCGACGCCGCCGTCGGGTGAGGTAGAGGGATGCGAGATCCATCCCGGGCGCCTGGGCCGGTGAGGGGCGAGGAGGACGAGATCCGCCCTCCAAAGACCGTCGGTGAGGGAGAGGGAGAGAGATCTGCCTGGCTGTCTCGGCCTCCTCACACACATTGGTAACTCTGACCACGCAGCCCCTTAGTCTCCGTGTTGGTGCCAGCCGGATGTTGAAGGAGAGGCTAGAGTGGTGAGGAATGGAGGAGGGAGAGGTGGGCGGTGAGAACAAAAAGGGTGATCATGGGCGGCGGCAAGGTAGGCACCGAGAGAATGGGGTTAGGTTTCCCACCCTCATGCCGATAGTGGGTGAAGATGGGCAATGTACGAGAGAATGATACAATTGACATGTTTATAAATTATAAATTGTTAATTTAATTTCGATAACAAATATTTTCTTTGAATAATTCCAAACTATTTATTAAAGATTGGAATATTTTAAAATTCACTAAAATCATAATATTTATTTATGAGATATTTTTAAATATATTACATACGGAACGACAATGATTTATTTAGCACAAGAGTTTTTGTCATTTTACATTGAACAAAAGTTTTGCAAGCCGATGCTTCCTTTATAAGTGTTATGATCTATGGAGAAGACTTGCAATGACCCCTTGATCAAACATCCATCTAGCTATTCCTCACCTGCATCAAATCAACGAAATGCAATAGAATACATCTTTTTATTGTAAACTAAGACACGTGCCTATTTTTGGATGTCTTCACTAGTACAGCCACGATTTATCTGGTGATGGCTATTTTAACACTGACGGTTCCTAACGAGCAGGCACCACTATTGTAAAATCTATGGACCCAGGCTAAAATCGCCTGATTTACAAAGTAGATGAACATTTCGAAGAACTACTACAACTCTTGAATCTCCACGACTCGTGCATTTCGACGTCAGATGCGCCTCAAACTTTTCTCAAGCTTGTGCATGCCACAGTGACGAGGAAACGCTAAGTTTCAGGTTTTTCGGAGGTGTTTTGCTATTTTCACAATTTAAATAAATTTCAAGCGCCACGGAACGCCTCAGAATTGAAGGTTGAACTGAGGCTTCCTAGAAACCATCCCAAACGGTACTAAACTTCTATACTGGGTCTCATATGTCCTAGAGAACCAGTTTTGGTGATGGTGGATGGCAAAATATATTATTTTCAAGTCATAAATTGACCTCTTTTTTCAATTTTAGCACAAAATAAATGCAATTATTGTCGAAATTGATCAGATAAATCTAAGATTCTGCGTTGAGCCATGATTTGGGTATGCGTGCATGCAAAAAAATCAACATATTTGGACAATGGGTAATGTACAAGCTTCACAAAGTGCTTGCGTTATTTTGATCAAAGCCCTAACTGCAATTCCTAGGTCTCCACATGACTTGTGCATTTTGATCTCGTATGTCCTCAAACTTTTTGTCAAGCTTGTGCATGCTATGGAGTGAGGAAATGCTAAGTTTCAGATTTTCCGGAGGTGTTTTGCTATTTTCTACACTTTAAATGAATTTCATGGCTGCAGAGAACGCCAGAATTGAAGGTTGAACAAAGGCTTCCCAGAAATGATCTGAAACAGTACCAAATTTTTATATTGGGTCTCATATGTCCTAGAGAACCAGTTTTGGTGATGGTGGATGGCAAAATATATTATTTTCAAGTCATTACTCGACCTCTTTTCTCAAGTTTAGCACAAAATAAATGCAATAATGGTTTAAATTGATCAGATAAATCTAAGATTCCGTGTGGGGCCATGATTTGGGCATGCGTGCAAAAAAATCAACCTATTTGGACTATGGGAAATGTACATGCTTCACAAAGTGCCTGCGTCATTTTGACAAGCCCGGACTGCAACTCCTTGGTCTCCACATGACTTGTGCATTTTTATCTCAGATGTTCCTCAAACTTTTTTCTCAAGCTTGTGCAAGCTATGGAGTGAGGAAATGCTAAATTTCAGATTTTCTGGAGCTGTTTTGCTATTTTCTACACTTTAAATGAATTTCTGCGTGCAGAGAACGCCGTAATTGAAGGTTGAACTGGGCTTCCTGTAAACGATCCCAAACAGTACCAAATTTTTATATTGGGTCTCATATGTCCTAGAGAACCAGTTTTGGTGATGGTGGATGGAAAAATATATTATTTTCAAGTCATAACTCAGACCTCTTTTCTCAATTTTAGCACGTAAATAAATGCAATAATAGTCGAAATTGATCAGATAAATCTAAGCTTCTGTGTGGGACCATGCTTTGGGTCTGCATGCATGTGGGCGTAATATACATGCTTTTACAAAGTGGATACCTCATTCCTCGTTGTTTTGGGCCGATAGATAGGCATGCATCGGCTATACGGACATCACCCTTTTCTCAAAGCGTGCCGTTGCATGTGGGTCCACGAGCATGTAAAGCCGGACGATTAGAACACATTCACACCACACGTCAAAATGGCATACGTCAAGAGGATTATTAGAACTTAGAAGTGCCCTTAGCTCGGGAATTCTCGGAGTGTTGAGAGTATAGTTATACGTCAATGTGTCCATGGCTTAACGTAAATCATATCATGCATAAGTGGTAATATAAACTGAGAACATTACTGCCATAGTTTAACAATAATCTTCACATGTTTTTCTGTTTTGGAGATAGGGGTTAATAAACAAAAGCCACCTAGTTATATAAAAACTTTTGTTATGCATAGCTCAATGCACAAATTGATTTTACCAATAATTTACATAATATATAGCGCCGACCACCAGATTCATCACAAAATCTCACGTAGCTCAGTGGTAGAACTTGAGCTTCTAAACCTGGCGATCCTTATTTGAACCTCCGCCGAGCTACGTGAGATTTTTTTTTAATTTTGGCTGCGCGCTGTTGCGCCTGCTGGGCCGCCTCATGCGAGGCCATCGTCCATTCGCGTTGGGCCATGTCGGGCCTTCACCTGCTTTGGGCTGCCTCGACGTCGGGCCTTCGGTGTATATGAGTCCGATTCCCACGGAGCGCATTTTTCCCCTGATTTTACCAAAGGCTGGTTCAACTCGAGTGATGAATGGGCCACGCCGACTGGATGTTGGGCCAACTCGAGTGAATGGGCAACGTCGACTTGAATGCTGGGCCAGTAAATAAATAAAAACATTTAAGCGCACATGTAGAAAAATAGGACAGGTAGCTCAAATGGTTTGAAATTTTGCTACTTTACTACAGGTGCTGGGTTCAAGCCCCACATGCTACAGAATTTTTTGTTCCCATCCACACCATATATATGGAGAATATTTTAGTTTTGCCATATGCATCATATACATGTAACAAAGTAACAAAATTAATTTGTTCAAATAGTTTTACAAATCGTCTTTTGGGTTTGATTCTCTTTGCAATCACACTTTTTATTTTTCTATAAACTAAATATTGATAGCGGGCCTATTATATTGTTTTAAGCTAACTAGAGTATAAATCTAATTTAAAATCATACAATCGTGACGATCCGGATAAAATCGTCATGAGTTAGCGGGCCGAATATCCCTTTGGTACACAACCATGACGAAAAATAAATTATCGTCACAGATTGCGCTCAGTAAGTGACGATTTGTAAATCCATCACCAAGAATCAAATCCACGGATTAACAAGTTTCTTGTAGTGATATTTTTATGAAAGTACTTTTCGAGACAAATCTATTCATATGGTTTTCACATTTCCTAACTCAACAACTTAAAAGTTATTCATAATTTATATTTTCAATGTTTGACCCAAACATTGTCCAAAACGATTTAAATTAACAGTATGGAGGAGTACCTTTTATCAAGCATAAATAATCTATACTAGTGTACCTTATATGCTGTTTAGACCATCCTTACATATCATATTAGTTACAATTCACTGAACTGGTCACATCATCTAGACGTGTTGTACCCTTTTTTTGAACTCTAGATAGACATGTTGTATCTAACACTACACGAACAGGTTTTTTTTTTATTAATCTTGATGAACACTACACGAACAGGTTGAGAAGCTGCAGGGAGGTGGAAGCGGTAGCGGGCCTTCCATGCACGATGATCTGCGTAAGGTCCACATCAGCAGAAGGAAAACCCATGCCATCGGCCCGGCCCAGACGGTGCCTCCTCATGTGCCCACCAAGCGCCTGGCCCGTGGAGAAGCCCAGCCCACACATGGCGCACGCGTGGACCTGCACTAACGCCTCTGGCCGTGGTTTCTTGTTGGTCGTCGCCGGCCGCCTGAGGTGGCTGGTCCGGTGGCCGCCCAGCGCCTGGAACGTCGGGAACCGCCGCCCTCACGTCTGGCACTCGAATTCCTCATCCGTACCCCGCCGCCGGCGACGACGGGGCTTATTAGGTGGTGGGGCCGCCGTGCCGGCAGCACGATCATTCTGCTGGACACTGCAGCTGGTGCTGTTGGAAGAAGGTGATGGCCAGCGCGACAGGGAGAGGGAGAGCAGGACGTCGCATGCAGTCCGTTGTCGTCGCTCGTCCTGTTCTTCTTGTTCGTCGTCGTCTTTTCCGTCTCCGTGATGAGGGTAGCTACAACTGTGGTCGTCTCCCATGGCGGCGCTGCCGCTGGCGGCGGCGTCGTCATCTCTGGCACGCTTCATTCTGCTGCTCACGTACAGAAGTAGTGCTCGATCGGATATATGTCTGTGGCATGACTGAAGTTGCAGTTGCTATATATATATATATATATATATATATATACATACAGCCAGCCGGCCGTTCTGTGTGCGAATTGAACCGTACCAGACAAGGAGATGAAATGATGGAGTCATGGAGAGGATATTCTGTCTAGACTAGATGACGAGACTGGACGATGACGCACATCACGCGGTGCGTGCCGTGTCCACTGGTAGTTCACTTACTTACTTAGCTTCACTCCGTGTATTACCAGCAGCGGCAAGAGTCAAGCTGACGATAACGTCGCTCTTAATTTGTCGGTTTAATTTTGCTTCTCATTATTTTATTTGCATTGCTTATTAATGAATTACTTCGTTATTAAGGTACTCCGATCGATCGATGACATGTACTACGGTACCTTCCCAAGCAAGGAAAAGTGGCAACTTAGTGCGCAAGATATCGTAAGTAGCCCTATACGTCTTCTCGATCGATCAAGAGCACTTACAGTCTAACTAGTATGTATATGGAGTACTAACTAATATATCTAATGACACCTGCACTACCTTTCCTACGCGTATCATCAATGTTACTTGAAAACTGAGAGGAACATGCTGGAGTAGGGGTGTCTAGATAGCTTAGCGGCTTAGCGCTGGTTTGTGTGACTTCTTGCCCTACATATAACGTATTAGGACTTGTATTGGACCTCTTGACCACGTACGTTTTAAGACTGACTGCTATATCTATATGTATTTAATTTTTTTTAAGATATACATGCATCGTCTATAGGGTGCCAACATTACTATTGACTAATGTATGTTGCATAGCTAAATGTCGACACATTAGTGGGAAAAGAACACATGGAAGAATAAATTCATCTAACTCTAGCTAGGTAACGTCCAAATCAAAGACGACTGATCTCAGAAACAAGCCAATTAATCTAAGAGAGAACTGACGGTATTAACTAACATATGCTAGCATGTGTGTATTTCATTCTAACGTTCTAGTTATGTTGTTTTTTTGGAATCCATTTATTTCCATTAATAAGGAGTTAAGAACAGAAATATTCTAGTCATGGTCGTCTTGTGGAATAAATCAATTAGTAAAGATAGCTCTTGTTGTTAACGCATATCCTTATCTTGGTCATTGTCCTTAATCGTGGAATCAGCATCGCTTATCACATAATATCACGGCAAAGGAAGCTGCTAAGAACTTGGTTGCCAAGCATACTGCTCTTGTTCACTGACCCACATCACAGTCTATGAAGTTTCATGGAAACTCACCTGCCTTTGCTCTGTCTCCCGATTAACGACAAATGATGGGTCGCATCATGTCAGAGCAACAACTAGCTAGCTAGGTGGCATCACTGTTGCTATATGTGTTTTGATTTTCAAGAAGACACTTGGACCTTTTGGGATTCATTTCAATGATTTTTTCTCTCTCTTCAAATCCAAATATGTAAAGGCATGGAGTCCTATAGCTGCGGCCGTTCTCTTTGATTTTTTTTTAAAAAAAAAACTGTAATCACATCGGCACACAAAGCGGTGAGTAATCATATATATATGGTGTGTACACAAAATATATGCCAGCATTTCATATATGTCGTACACTAATTTGAAGGTTCGACGTATAAGTTATACTCGAACCTTCAAACATACTTCTCTTTTAGTCTCTACTACTAGCTTAGATCGTGATGCTGTCCGATCCCATATAACAGTGATAAAGATTTCGTGGTTAAGGACTTGAGGTTCAATAAACCTGATTTTTTCCTATGTGACATGTTTTATCCGATGATTCCACATACGCTAAAGGAAAACGAATTAACTTGTCAGTTTTAGGTAACTCATTGAAAAATAGTAATTACCTTGTTGGTTTCTCAAGAATACAATGCAATAGAAAAATAAGTTACGTTGTGAGTTGACATGGAACTCACAGGATATAGTTGATCTTAAATTCTAGCAGTGCATGTATGCAAGGTGGCTGTAAAGATCGAAGTGGGCCGGGTAGGGAAGCTAGCGGTGGTGTCAAGTGTGCCGGCCGGCCGGTGCCACGTGCATGCATCATGCAGCTGAGTATTTTGCGGCCGGGCCTCGTTCGTTCGTTGACCTCGTGGGGTCAAGGTCAAGTCAAGCTCGGTGTACACGTTGCCGAAGGCCTGGAGCCAATGGTGTGCTGACACTTGGCCACACGCTAAGTTTCCGTGTGTATTTTGCAGAATGGATTTTTGTTACTTTGCTTATACAGTGTCACGTGGCTTTTGGTACGAAAGATTCAGGCGTGTAATGCCAGCGTAAGTGTGGTTGTAATCACGTTACGACGACACACACACCAGCCAACACAGCCTAGTAAAGTAGGGGACTCATCCACCTCACTCTTTCTCTCTCCTTTTCTTCTTCTTTACTCTTTTTTCTTCTGTTTCTTCTAGCTCTCTTTTCTTGTTCCACTTCACCATGTCCAAAACTCCTAGGAGAGATTTAGGAGGGCTTCTGGTAGGGCCCAGATAAATCCGTCCCTAGCTGCACATATATTTCTACAATAGACAGAAAGAAGAAGTTTCTCAACTCTGCCTACATGAATGTTGGACATCGTTCATTGGGCATCTGTTCTTAGGCCTTTTGCCGAGTGTTTGCCTGTGCGGTCATCCATACTGCAAAGCGTGGTACAGGTTTGGTTTTGAGATCTGGAGCTATTCACAGCGTGGGTACAATTTAGATTAGACTCAGTTTCTGGATATTCGTGTAATCCAGAGCGCTTAACGTGTTGATGTACCCAGCTATTATATAATATAATTCTTCTTTCATCGCTTAAAAAAGTTTATTGCAAGTAAGTACTCCATATATATTTGTTCCTAAGTATAGGACGAACTGGACATCAATATGGTTATTACTAATGTGCAGCTTGTAATAAGTATGGTAATAAATTCTAAGATTGCTACTTATATCAAAGCAAGAGGATTTGATTGCAAGGAATCTATGACATTATACGCTATTTATGACGGGTGTGGTTACATAATTGTATCATAATAAGATGCACCACCAATTTGAAAGTTTTTGTTTAGTAATGTGTTGTTGCGCGTTACATAAGGTTAGGTATACACATATGTTTATGACCATGACTTGCATCAAACATCTACATTGATATATAGCGACGTATGCCCGTATGCTTTATTTCTAGCCCAGCTAATAAAGTTCATCACAATTCACATGCATGATCCAAGAAGTTAAGCTTCGCTTTTCCTATCCAAATCTAGCCAAGCAACAGGCAACAGCCATATGTGTTGGGAAGTTCTACACCCTCTTTATCAAGAATCAAAACGCATTCATATACATCCTCATGGTTGAATTTTCTCGTACTACTACTTGGCAAGAGTTTGGTCCTCAGTAAATAGAAGTTAGCATACATCTCTACTATAATTGAAAACTTGAGACTCATCACGGAGGCTTCAACACTCCCATCACCGAAAAAAATGAAAAAAAAACAAATGCGCCGAGGACGCCGCCACCGCGGAAACCTTCCGATCGCGAAAAAAACCGACGTTAGAAACCTTCATGTAGCCGTCGCCGCCGCCGCCGCCTCTTCCCTTCCTCCTTCCGACCTTCAGGCTACGCCAGAGCTGCCAGCGCCTCCTCCGTCGAGCGGGCTGCCGCCCCTGCCGAGCAGATTCCAAGCTCCGCCCCTTCGGACCAGCTCCATGTCGGAGTCAAAGCTCCGCCCCTGTCGAGCGGGCTGCGAACGGAAGAGTCCAAGCTCCGCCCCTGCCGAGCAGCTCCGCGCCGGAGTCCGGCGTCGCCTCGTCACTCGATCCAGAGTCGCCTGCGTTGTCCTCGCATCAACGACGCCTCCTTCCTCCTTCCTCCTCGCATCAACGGCAGATCCGGCGGCGCCCACCAGCGGTCTGGATCTCGTAGGCCAAGCGGCGGCTCCCTCCCGAGTTCTAGCGGTGGCGGCGACCTCTCCACCTTCCATGCGAGCGGCTCCCCATCTTCGATGGCGGTGCGGCCAGTCTCGCGCGGAAGGCGCCTGACCACGCGAAGGACGCCCCAACGACTGTGGCCACCGAGATCCGGCGCGCTCAGATCGCCCCCGACGCCCGAGATCCTCGTGTTCCCATCTCGCCGAACAGCTCGCGACTGGCGCGTGCGGCTGGCTGCCTCTGCTGTCGTTCTCGGAAGAACTCGCCTCGGTGAGCTATGTCCTTCCCCTGCCTTCTGATCGTCCAGAACCCAAACACTGCCCAGCTATGTGGCTGTGCTGTGACAGCAATGGATATTCGTGTTGATCATGGATGGAAGAATAACGAAATTGAGATTGGGATGAGAAATTTGCTGATTTGGGATGGGGAGGAGTGGGAAATCACATTGAGATTGTTTTATCGTTGATCTATAGGTGTGACTTTCTTCTCAGTTCCTCTATAGTTCAGACTGGTAGCCTACCACTGCATGTAGTCTAGGTGTTTGATAAAATGCTTATTTTAGGGCAGAATAGGGGAAGATGGACATAGGCAGGCGTGTTAATCATCTCTGCAAACGGCATCAGATAAAATTATCTC